TCAAGACACTCAAATTTCGCACAAGCTCAATCTAAAATCAAGACCGAATTGGGACCGAACGGGTTCAAGACCGGACCGAATCCAATCCAAGTTTTGGTCCTTATATTCTCGAAAAGACCGGACCGAGACCGGATCAATTCAGGCCAATTTAACCGAACCGGACCTTATATCCACCCCTAGTTCTGAGAGTGTTCAAATGGTTACCATCGCAATTACCAAACCAAAACAAAACAAAATTCTATTAATCATGGAATACAATATTATAACCAAACCATTCAAACTAATACAACAATCAAATTAACCAAACTAAAGTTTAATCGGTTAGGTTAATTGGTTAACCAGATTGACCAATATAACATCATATTATCATTAAGTGAGAAATTTTTTGGTTAATAATACTTCAATTCACAATTTATATGATGAATAAAACATTACAATGAACACATAGTAATAGTTAACCCTTACAGAAATACAAGCAACTAATACAATTATGCTACCGTCAATAGACATATTCACTTAACAAAAATATATGTAAATAGTATGGAGGTAATTAATTGTTGTGACGGTGTGAATAGATTTAGTCTCTTAGCAATTATCATAGGTTGAAAAAGACTTTCCTTTCAAGTTTTCATCTAATATATTGTATGAGTTTTATCTAAATTGAGAATTCATATACCATGGTCTACATTCTACAAATACAAATATACAGTATAGGAATAATATTGAGTTTTATTGTTTATGAGCCTACAAGAAAGGAATGTTTAGCTCTTGAGTGGTTATGCCAAGTATTAAGTATGTCTATATAGTATGTATTAGATATATGGATAATTACTTAATTGGTTAATTTGGTTTGATTGGTTAGGAGTGTCTGAAACCAAACCAAACAAGCTAAAAATTTTAACCAAACCAAACCAACTATCCAACTTAACCAAACCAAATACTACCGGTTAAAACGGTTACCACTGTAACAACCACAGTTTGAACACCCCTAATTGTTGGAATCAATTTGTTTATGCATTGTATTAGAGCTGATTTATTTTAAATGTAACATGTTCAAATCCTTACGACCTTCAATATTAATCTTTATCTCGATTATTTTGACTTTTGAATAAGATATTAATATAGATCTTTTGACTACTCCCTAATGTATACTCTTCCCAAATTAGTGAAGTTTGTCCTCGTAGAAAAGTTGTAGCATGCGATTTGATCTTGATTATGTTCACACCCATTAAAAAGGTGTATCACAGATGCCTGAATTATTGGACTTGTGTGAATATGGGTTTGGTGGAGGATTAGATGGTTCCTCGGAGTTTAATATAGCACCTGTCAAGATTGTGTTTGGCCATTACGTTTTGGAGGAAAATGAAGGACAACAGAAGTTCAATCATCCATATTTGACCATTGAGTATACATGATTCGGCACTAACGAGTAACGAGGATACAATTAAGGACGGTCAGAATAAGGTGAAAGTGGTCACTAAAAATAAACCACAAACTAATAATTATTATACTCATAAAATCTGCCATGCATGCAGCCAAACTATGTGCTGGCAAATAATATTACTGCAGCATAATAATGCATGGGGTTGACTGATCAGTGCAAGCTTCGACGCGTCCAAGTTGGTCTCGTATTGTCTCCAGAGCAATGCCTAATTCCTCTTTTTCTCACCGGAAAGCAAGGCCGCCTAATACATTTTACAAATTTCACTACTGTTCATTGTAGGGTTGGCAATGGTTTCGGGGTGAGGCTGGTTTTTCTATATAGCATTGCTAGGGTGGACAATGGTTTGGTCCTTATCGGATCACGCCGAACCAAATCGACGCTTGGATCAGACTACATCGAACCGAATATATATTGGTTCGATCCTTGGTCTCATAAATTTTATAGATAGTGAAGAAAAATGGACGAATTGACATTGGACCGGACCAAAGTGGACCGAATGCACTATTGGTCTGGTCCTTGGTTCTAAAATATCTTTCACTATTGGACCGCGATTCTCCATAGTTTGGTTCAATTCGATTCGGACCGGACCGATGCCCACCCCTAATCATTCATTGCTGAATTATGATTTTAAAATCATAACCATTTCTGTAATTGTGCAGGGATGTAATGGCTTATCGAAACCAACCATTCTGCGGTTGAGGGAAAACTCACATGCACCATCTTCAACCAATCATATATGGAGTTCTAGATATAATCTAAAACAATTTCTTAGAATATCGATGTTAATTGAAGTTTCTTTATTGCGTTGTTTGTAAAACGGCTAGAAAAGGAGCAAGATTTGAGGGTTAAGAGATAATTAAAATATTTTAGAAATATGAATGATCGAAGTATTAAAGTGAATGCGTATGAACATAGATACAACACATATTCGGGTAGGTTTGATACAGATACTTAGGGGTCATTTGGTTTTGGTGATAGTTAATTTGGTTGGGATAGTTACAATACATGCATATTTTTCACAATGCATCATTTTTTTGAATTTTCTGCACAAACAATACATGCATATTTTTCACAATGCATCATTTTTTTGAATTTTCTGCACAAACAATACATGCATTGTTTGCTTGATTTGACACAAACTATCACTCAAAATGAGTGATAGTTAAATTTCAAGTTTTAATTGAGATTGTTTGGTAGAGATTGTTGAGTTTTCTTTTGTTCCAACTAGGTCCCTACTTTTTTATGTGTGTTACCTTTTTTAATATTAAAAACAAAAGATAAAAGTTATATAACTTATTTCAGTATTTCAATAACTATAACAGAAACCAAGCAATATAAACTACAATACACCAATTTTCTTATATACATGTATATTATTATACATACATTAATGACAATGCATTAAGTATTTAACTATCACCAAGACTAAACAACCTAAACACCAAAATCACACCAATGACCAAACGCATTAACATCCTTGTAGAGTTCGAAAAAATCCACCAAAAAATAATATCATTTAGATTTTCTCCAATAAATCGATTTTGGATTGAGTTCGATACCCACTATAATGGGTTACTTTGTCATCCTTAATTGTCTGAGACTCCCTTATTTATTAGCCGTCTCTTTCTATATTATTTCCAAAGTAACATCAACTCAAATCAAATAATGGGGTTGTTTTTATTGTTTGATAAAGAATTTCAATTTTGGAACTTTTTTCCAATCCTTTTCTTTCTTTTTCATTTCCCCACTTTATGCCCCCCATCTGCATAGTCGATTTCTCATCTCTTCTTCCTCCAATCCAGTGGAACCTAAGGTCTACATGAGAGCTTCACTTTCAAAGTAGTGTATGGTATTTCCACCATACACGTTTCCTTTGGTTTCTACAAATATATGTGAATAATTCAATTGAGAAAAAGAAAGAGGGGAAGGGGAAGGGGAGGAATAAAAATGTCAACAGAATCTTAAAAATGGCAAACCCTTGGGCAAACAAGTGGCTATTCACGTACCAGACTGGAGACTGGCTTGAAAAAAAGTAATCGTTCTAGTTTAATACCAAGGAATGATATCTATCAAAGCTTGAGTTCCAATGCATAACTTCCAATTATGCAGTACTTGATAATCTCTTTTATTACGATGGTCAGATATGATATTATAATTGTACGATGTACAAATGTTGTACAATTATGATTCGATATTGATACGATGTGTTATTATGGTGGTACAATATGATAGGATAACATGATTTTGTAAGATTATGAGTATCATGATTTTGCATCTGATGCCCTCTTATTTATAAGTATTGATTAATTTTTAGAGTTTTTTTTCTCCAATGGCTTTTGGTTATAAGATTATTTGATTTTTCGTTATATAATACTGTGAAAATTGTATATTCAAATTAAAGAACCTTTAATTTTAATACCTTGATGTTTTAGTTTGTAACGTGACAGATCTATATCAACTTGAAGCTCATATAAACTATCTTACGCGGTATAAAATATAGGGATGTAAAAGAAGACCCAATATTTGAGTATTGCCATGAAATTTTTTGTTATGGGTCAGATTAAATTTGAGTAATTTTACTTTAATTTGAGACAAACTCATACCCAACCTTTTAGTTTGGGTCTAAATTAGACTCGTAGTATTGGGTGTCCTAAAAAAATTAGATACCCAATTCTAATAAAGTATTTGCTTTGTTTTTTTTGTTCGCATCTCAGAGTGTTATATCTTTTGCCTTTGGAGGATTTTATGCAGAAGTCCACGACCCTTTTCTCATTGAACTAATGGCGCTTCGGGATGCCATGTGTTGGTGCCTTTCTCATTATGTAACTAATGTTCTGTTTTGTGGTGATGCGCAGGTCGTTATCCGGATGGTATCCGCGAATGATTCTGCTCACGCTTTGGGGGGTGCCATTCTGAAAGAGGTTCAGGTGCTGCGAACATCTCTCGCGCGTGTTTCGTTTCATTTCGCTCCTCGTAGGTATAACAGGGCTCCCCATTCCGTGGCAAAACAGGCCCTCGCATCGATGGATCAGCGACTTGTTGACCATCGTTTTGCTCTTTTTTCTTTTTCCTGCCAGTTTGATTTTGTATATTCTCGTATCTTGCTATTCCTTCCGGAATATCTTTGGCAAAAGAAAAAACATACAGGTGGAAACACTTACATCAATGGTGTGATTGGGTTGAATGCAGTTAATACTTAATGATATGATTGATATTGTTATTTTTATGTACAATCATCTCGACTCAAATAGACCTATTTGGGTCTAGCCTAAATAAATTGACTCAAATTGAACCCAACCAGAATCTAAAACCATTATAAGTACGTACAAATGCATTTGAGTCCAATGCATTAGAACGGGTACTCATATTGATCATGATAATTGGGTCATAATTACAACAAATCGAATCATTGTAATCTCTAATAAAATATTTTCGCGAGAGATAGCAAAGGAAATTCTTAGGGTGGGTACCCAAAACCTACTCAGAAGGGCCAGTTCACCATCCTCCACCAGATATTCCCTGCCACACTCTCCTCATCATATCCTCTTTTTCCCACCTTTAATTATACGCGTAACAATATACAATTCCCTCTCAATACACAAATAATATACGAGCGCCCAGTATTCGTCACTATAAATACCCCGCTCTCCAACTTTGGCCACCACTCACACAAATTTCACGTTTCCTCTCAAAACTACAATAGAACAATAAGCTCCTTCAAAGACTCTCCAACACAATGGCTCTCTCCAAGCTTGTGATGGCTTCCCTCCTCTTCTCACTACTCGTCCTTCAGCTCGCCCATGCTGATTACTCCCCTCCATCAATCGGTAATACGTAAACTGATCCTCAACACTCTCTGAATCATCTTTTTGCAACCAACAAAATGGTTCGTAAAAAGCAACGACTAGTTGTCTTAAGCCACGATATATATATTGGGAGCTTTTCGATATACCAGTGGTTCCGGAAAACTCTTTTTCTACTATCTCAAATGTTAGCGTATAAAATTCATGTCGAAATTCAAAACTTATTAATTACAACGTGGTGTTTGTATCGAGGATTGTGAAAACGTATATGAGCTTAATTATATATGATAAAGTACTATATACTAAATCATAATTCAAATGTTTCATACCGCTAAAATCGTCTACTATTTGTGGTTCGGAATAAGATACTTTCGGTCCAACTAGACGGTAGAGAGTATGCTTTCTACTAACATTTGTTTGTACGATGGATGTCAGATTGTGGAGGCGCTTGTAAAGCTAGGTGCCAGTTATCCAGCAGGCCGAACCTGTGCCACAGGGCTTGTGGGACTTGTTGCCGCCGATGCAGCTGCGTCCCTCCGGGAACCGCCGGCAACTACGACAAGTGCCCTTGTTATGCAACCTTGACCACCCACGGCGGCCGCCGCAAGTGCCCTTAATTGTGTTTAATTAATTCCCAATTGAGTTTAAACCCATAATTAAGTCGATATCATTACTTGTAAGTTCGCTTCGTCCGTGACTCTCATGAGTTAATACGAAGTAGTACGATGATGATGTGTGGTTGCTTTCCCTTTGGCATATAATAAAACGGATGTGGGTCAAATAAATAAGAAATCTTGTAATAGTTGCTGATATATGTCTATGTCAGCAGGTTTTTTTTTATAGTGAATATCTGTCACTCTATCAGGTTTCAATGGATGTTGAGAGGATTGAATATGTATCATGTTTACTACTACTCTGTCAAGAAATATCCAGAGTTTATTTTTACTTTTATCTTAGCGCTAGAGTTCGTCACTTCATCCAATTATTAACCTTTTTGGTTATGGAAATTAGATGTAGAGAACAGATCGATCTTTACAAATTTTTGGTGAATTTATGGAAGTTGATTATTCATGTTCACTACTACTCTGTCAAGAGTGTTGTGCTAATGTTAATAACATGAAAGTCAGGTTCGAGACCTATTACCTATATAAGAGCCAAATTATTATTTGTAACTTCTGAGTTCATTTAGCGATCATATATTTTCTCCTAGACAATGCGAAGTCATAAACCAAACTCATATTGTTCGATTCCGTGTTTGCATATAACTCTCTTTCAAGTATTATTATTAAAATGGATCAATTATGGGTTCACCTTAATTATTTATGAATTGGCCTATTAGCTCAGTTGGTTAGAGCGTCGTGCTAATAACGCGAAGGTCACAGGTTCGAGACCTGTATAGGCCACATTATACACTTTATTTTTTTACCAAGTTCGCGAAGGTCACAGGTTCGAGACCTGTATGGACCACATTATTTTTTTTACCAAGTTCAACGAGGTATTAAATATTTTATTCTAGACAATATTTTTTTGCATTACAGGAGGCACAAGGCCAAAGAAGGAGGAACGAGGGGGAAAGAGATCAGATGGGAGAGATGGGAGAAGTGATCACTATGTTTCTAGGAAAAGTGATTCCTCACTGATCATCCTGTAAGATGGGAAGGGCCTCTTGCGGCGATCCTCCAATTCATACATACCGTAGGGATAGACGAGACTGTGCTTCGAGAGCCAGTCCGCGACTCTATTCCCCTCTCGGTAGGTATGGACTAGGTTCACCACCCAATCCAGAGAAATCTTCCTCCTGATGGCCGAAAGAAGAGCAGCATAAGGGTGTAGAGGGTTTGCCCTGTTCTTCACAAGTTGAATAGCCAACTGCGAATCTGACTCGATGATGATGGTCCTATAGCCTTTGTTCCAAACGAGCCTCAAACCATGATAAATAGCCCACAGCTCGGCTAGAGTAGCCGAACAAGACCCAAGCTTGAAACAAATCCACCTAACCAGCAGTTGTTGGAGTCATGAATTACTCCTCCAGCCCCGGCCAGGCCCTGGGACCCTCCTACTGCCCCATCAACATTGACTTTCGTCCAACCTGCAGGTGGCGGCTGCCATCCGATATCTGTCATCACCCGGTTCAGCGCCGGGTTTCCCCTTCCACTAAGCAGTGTCGGAGAATTCCAAGCCCGAATCCAAATATCTGCTTTAATCTTGATTGACTGCATAAGAGAAGGTGACGACATGGTCTTATTAATACCTTTGAAGACTCCTTCATTTCTGTTCTTCCACAAGCACCAAAGGGCAATCCCGAAGAAGGCGTCCCAGGGGAGTCCTGTAGTTGAGGACTCCTTGCTGGTCAGGTTGCGGTGTAACCATTCTTCCCAAGGGAGGCTGAAGAACTCATGCTAGGCCGCCGTGGGAACTACTCGATGCCAGAAGAAGGCTGCAGGCGGACAGCTGCGAAAAATATGAGATAGGCTCTCGGTCTGGGAAGGGCATCTGTAGCAAGAGTCCTCCTGAGTTAGCCGTCTATGGGCTCTGAATTCGTTCGAGCTCACCTTTCCCTGCGCAAGCAACCAGATAAAACATCTAACCCGCTCGGGTACAGTGAGATGCCAAACGACTTTCCACCAACTCTGCTGTGTGCTGGAGGGAGCTGTCTGGAGGATCTGGTAAGCACTCTTCGTAGTAAAACGGCCATCCGCCGATGGGGTCCAGAACAAGTGGTCTTCCTCCGTAGCCAAAGGATCAACAGCGTGGGCTGTTATCCTGTGCTGAATCTCCTGTGGGAGTAATGATCCAAACTTCTCAACTTTCCAATTTCCTTCCTCATCAACAAACTCGGACACCGGCAGCTGAAGGTCTTCCTCCGAAATCATCTCCGTCGCCATCTCGTGGAGAGTTCCCTGCAAAATCCAATTATCCGACCAAAACTTAGTCTGATTACCCCTATGAAAATTCCAGGCACAACCTTGTTTAAGTAAATCAGCTGCTTTGGTAAAGCTAGCCCAGGTAAAGGAACTTCACTGAACACATTTAAGAATATCCAGGTGTTGTCGGTTCCCCCATACTTAGCGCGAACCATCTGGACCCAAAGGTTTTCTTTCTCCTGTACGATGCGCCAACAATCTTTAGCTAGCATGGACAGGTTCACCTCTCTACTTGACCGGATACCAAGGCCTCTATTATTCTTTGGCAGGAGCAGTTGAGGCCATCCCACTAAATGGAGATTCCTCTTGGTTTCTGTGTCCCCCAGATAAAATCTCTATTAATCCTATCAAGCGACCTGCAAACATTCATAGGGAGAAGCTTTGTTTGCATAGGGTAAATAGGAATGGAAGCAGAGATAGATTTCACCACCGTGATCCGGGCTGCCAGAGATAGATGTCTGGTTTTCCAGGGTGCGAGTTTCTTCTGTATTCTCATCACCAGCTCTCGATATATATCCTTTGTAACTCGACCGTGGATTGCCATAACTCCAAGGTACCGGCCCAGGTCTACTGTGAGTGGAATCTCGGCTCTTGAAGAAAGTCGGTGCGCCTTCCTCTTGTCGATGTTAGCCGAGACAAACATGGCAGATTTGTTGTAGTTTACTCTTTGCCCTGAGCTCTGACAAAATTCATCGATACATTGTTTGATGATCCTAACTTGCGAGCTTTCTGCTTCTACAAAAAGAATAAGATCATCTGCAAAGAAAAGGTAAGATAGCATAGGGCCTTCTTTGGATAGCCTTAGGGGTTTCCAGAGTTTATCCTGAATGGCTTGATCAATCCTGTGAGACAGTCTTTTCATACATAAGACAAAAAGATACGGCGAAAGAGGGTCTCCCTGGCGGACTCCTCTAGTGGGCGTGATCGGAGTTGAAAGCTCGCCATTCCATAGCAGTCTCATTCTGTTATGCTCAACACAAAACATGATACAACTGTTCCATGAGCTAGGCAGGCCTACCTCCTTGAGAGTATCTCTAAGAAACTCCCATCGCAGCCGGTCGTAGGCCTTCTCAAGATCAATCTTCAGAACAATCCCTCCTTTCTTACCCTTCTTCTTTCTCAAAGAATGAAGCACCTCCTGCAAAACAATAATGTTATCTGTGGTCTGATGCCCAGGAATGAAGCTGCTTTGTCTCGGGGACACCAGCTTTCTCATGATGGGTTTAAGCCGATTAGTGATGGCCTTGGTGATAGCTTTCAGGCAGACATTGTTGAGGGATATCAGACGAAATTGGGAGGCCATCTCTGGGTGATCCACCTTAGGAATGAGCGCCACCATCGACTCCACCACTTCCTCTGGCAGCATCCCTGTCGAGAAAAAAACTCATAGCCATGTCAATAAGAGCTTTTCCAACCACCTGCCACGATTTCTGATGAAATACCGCTTGAAAACCATCCGGTCCCGGAGCTTGATACGGCTTCAAATTCTGCACAGCTTGGTAGATATCTGCAGCCGTAAAGGGCTGCAGGAGAGCCAGAAAGTCTTCCTGTCGAATCCTCGGGAACGCCTGCTTTGGCATATCATCTGTGTACTCTTGAACATCTTGCAAGTAAAGAGAAGCAAAGAAATCGAAAACCAAACCCGCCAGCTCCTGCGGGTCAGACACCCACTCTCCATTGCTGGCTTTCAGGCTTGCAATTTTGTTCCTTCGTCTTTGGATAAGGGCTTGCTTATGGAAATACGCAGTGTTGCGCTCATCAAATTGCACCCATTTATCTCTTGCTCTCTGATACGAGATGATCTCCTCCTTCTCTAGAACTTCATCAAGCTCTCTCTCCAGTTTCTCTTGGAGCTTGAAAAGGCCAGGAGAGAACTCATTGGCTATTATAGTCTGAATCCCATTAATACGGCTAAGGAGCCTCTTCTTCTTCTGGAAGACATTGCCGAAGGTGTTTTTGTTCCACTTAGCAAGATCCTCAGCCATTTTCCTCAAAGCTTCCTGATGCGGCGCCTGAGAATCCCAATTGTCCTGTAAAAATCACCATAAGAATCATGCGTTAGCCATGCTCCTTAACCTGAAACTCAGAATAATGGGGTTGAATGGGATGGCTCTCTCATGGATCGGTTCAGTATCAGTTAAGTCTGGGACACAATTCGTCCAAGACAAGAGGTGGTTGTTTGGTCCAATTTAGTGTGGAAAGGTCCTCTAATTTCTAAGAACTCCCTGTTAACTTGGCTCATTCTAAAAGGTCGTATTACAACTCTGGATAAAGTCAAGCGTTAGAACTCGGAAGTAAATGACTCCTGCCCTCTTTGTCAATCAGTGCAGGAATCAAAGGAACATCTATACTTCTCCTCCTCCTATGTAAAAGAAGTATAGGGTATTGTGTTTGATACATGGCAGTTTCCTTTAACTGTTGATTTCCAAAATGCAACCCAAACTGCTGTCAGAAGGCTTCGGAAGTGTTTGATTGGAAGAACTCTTTGGTGTTTGCTACTTAGTGGAACATGGCGCGAGTGGTATAGACGATTGTATGGCAAGAAATTTCTTTCGTCATCTGCTCTGGCTTAGAGGAAGGAACAGGTGGTGGTGCCCAAAATTGTCGGGGACTTGCAATTTGCAGAAGTTGTTGCTATGAAACCTCTATGGTTTAGGCAGGGTGGTAATGGATAGTAGTAGTATAGTGGGGGCTTATTTTTTTCTCCTTGTTTATGTTGTTTATCAGTAGATAGCTCTGTTTGTTGCCACTTGATGTTGTATGATTGTAGTGTTGATTGTATGATGAATAAAGGCTACCATTCATCGGGAAAAAAACTTAGATGTTTGGCTGAGCTCCATTACTTTTTTTTCTCGGGCCGGAATAGTAACTGAGCCGCCCACATTATGTCCCTTATTGAGTCCCTTATTAAGTCTAGACCATAAATTAAATCGAGTTTGGGGTATGATACTATACCCTAACCTCTAATGGATAAACCCCAGGCACCGATTTTCTAAACCCCAACTCAAAGTTTGATTTAATGAAAAACAAAAATTGACCGTTGAGATCGGCCGGAGCTCATCTAAGTACATCTAACGGCTAGATCACCTGACGTATACTATACGCCTGACGTACACCAGTCATCACTATATATATATATATATATATATATATATATATATATCGGGACATTTAATTCCCTCCCGCGTCTCAACTTTCCAGAAACCATTCCACTTCTTCTTTCCATTTTACGGACCGAGAGGAGCAGAGCGAACAGGGGAGCTCGGGGAGAAATTTCCAAAACTCGAATCTTGAGCTCTAGTGATCCAAAAATCCCGTAAGTAATGCCTAATTCATCTATTCATCGTGATTTATCGATTTAGAGCTTTAAAACGAGTTTTTGGTTCAGGAATTTCTTGAATTCCTGATAAGGCAAATTAGAGTTTCGGAGTATCCGGAAGCCGGATTGAGCCCAAATTTCATATACGAGCTTCCTGCAGCGAGGTAATCAATCCTCTAATTCTAATCCCTGAATTTCGACTATTATTTAGGTCGGGGTCCAAATTGCTAAATTTAGCTCCGGACAGGGTTTGATGTGTTTTTATCAAGAATTTGACCCGGAGCCTAGAACTAATATTGACGGGGATACTGCAGGGGATATTAGGGCGGTCTCGGATTTTAATTCGGGGTTCGTTCGTGAAATCGACGTTTTAGTACGGGAAGGTTAAACCGGTGTTTGAACGGCCAGAACTGGTGAGGGATTAGCATGTCATACCGGGTTTGTCGTATCACGATAATTATATTGATGCTTAGAATTGACCTAGGTGAACTAGAATGGCATGATTAGGGGTGTATGAACTTTTGTGCTATATGATGAATCATGGACTACTGTATGATATTATTGACTTGCCCTAATCGAGATGGACCTTGTTTATGTTGATGATTTCGTATATGTTGCAAATTGTGGGCTTGACTGTTGATATGCCTTATGATGCTTCGAAAAGGTGATTGGGTATGATTTTTCATGATTGTTGTATTTGGATGCACATGTGGGAAAATATATATTCCCTGGTGATATTATGATGTTTAAGGAGGATGACTTGCACGAGGGTTTATCCCGAGGAAGTGCAATTATACGACTCCTGATTTACCTATGTTGAGCCAATTATGGCCAGGTCAAGTACATGTGCAAGTAATGAATTATGATTAAGCAAGATGAGATATGAATCATGTATAATGATACCAAATATGAGTGTTGTGGTCTCACGGTCAACTACATAGTAATTAGGGCTCCCTGTGCTATTACTCTATTATGATAAGTATGATAGTCACACCTCTCATGTGGTGGTGACTGAAGATTTCTTACGAGATATGACCACACCCAGAGTGGTGTCGGGGTATGACTACACCCATAGTGGTGTGGGGTATGTATGACCACATCCGACGGGATGTTGGGGTATGTATGACTACATCCGACGGGATGTGGGGTATGTTTCCCGGGAGAGTTATTAGCATGGGAGTAGCCAGGTGCCTATAAGTAAAACATGATAAGATGCATATGCATAAGTCAAGGTGGTTGAGTCTTTTGCCTATTGGGATGTCGGATGCGTGAGGTCTGATCCTATTGCTTTGGCTTGTTTGCTAGATGTATGGTAGGGGTATGCTCTGTTATGAACTCACGATGCTATGATTATCTCACTCAACTATGAGCTGACCCTCTTTTATTCTTTTTCTCTGCTTATGCCATGTGTAAGCAGATCATCATCATCAGCAGCAGTAGATAGGTGTATAGGTGGGAGCTGAGCAAGAGTTTAAGACAAGATGAGGTATGGTCTTCAACTATTCTGTGCTTGGACTACTACTCGGGATTTTGGCCAGTGATCCACACCTTTTTGTAAAAATGTCTTGAGAATGTTTTTCATGTGCATACTAGCGTCTGATGTAGTGTGAGATATCCACAGGTGTGGAAAGTTGATAATATGTGTATATTTGTGTAATTATGTAAGTTGTGACGATTATGGCATGTATCAGTAAGGTATGCAGTTGTAGAGTATGAAACTGTGTCTATGGCTATGAAAGCCAATGTATATGGTTGTGAGTATATATGTTTGTTTATGGATGCAGGGATTCAGATAAATTATTCTGCAGGTTTTAGTTACAAGAACTGTTAGCCCATTACGCGAGTAATTCATGTCGAAATTTTATTTTGGTAAATTTTGATAATTAATGTAACACCCGGGATTATTTCCGCAGCAATTGTATGAACAATATGATTAGGTAATACTTATAGGGTAGGATGTTACAGTTTGGTATCAGAGCTGGTTTGTTTCCTGCATTATGGGTATGTTACTTTCACTCTTGAGGACTGATCACCCTCAACGGGGGAGAGAGTACTCCATACCTGTAGTTGCACTAAACTTTCCAGGATTTAGACCAAATGTGATGATGTGTTGCATAGTCAGTTGCATATGGTCAAACATGATTTTGAGTATTTGAAGTAATCTTGAAAATTTTATGGTTTAAGAGATTTCTGAAAATATGTGGAGTTTTTATCTTATTGTCCAAGTAATGATTTTGAAGAAAGTTTTGTTTCAACCAAGTGAGTAACTTGGTTAGACACAAATGGTGTGTGGATCAAACTAAGGCCAATGTTTCCTTGTAGTTTACACAGAAGTACTTTTAGTGTTACTACTAACTGATCGACT